AAACTGAGGTCTCTATTTCAGACTGTCACATCAGCAGAACACATTCGACTTTTATTTGCATTGAACAATATATTTTTTTAGACTGAGTCTAATCTTAGATGACATGTAATTTCTTGTGATTGAACCTAAAATATTGTGGATTCTTATATTAAACAAAATAAAATAAATAAACAGTAGAATAATCGAATCCGAACCTGATTTACATATCTTTTTTCCAGATCTTTTGTCAACCACGTTGTGATTGACACCAAATTCACCACCATCATCACCCTGATGACTATGACAAAAGGATCAGACATTTATGATTCACAATCAAGACACTTGGTAAAATTGAGTGTTAATCTTTTACCGCTATCGTAGGTAGTGTACTATTTAACGCCGTGTAATAAGACCATATTTAGTTTAATCTCAATAACACACAGTGTGCTACTTTTTTTTTATTTAAACCATATATCTGCTTTTTTACGTATTAATTAATAATTCTATAGGTACAATTACGCAGTGTTATCACTAATTGTGGGTTCAATAGATTTGCCATATGGTATTAGCTAGTCCTTTATGAAATTTGATTAAAAAGGAAAAAAATAAAATATTTAAAGCATCAAAGGAATATAGGCATTGCCGTAAATATATTTCACGTGAACACTATTAAACACAGGGTATAGGAAACTCTCGATGTCGGTTGACCTTAGAGCACCTACAATGCTTTGGGTCTAATTTTACTTATAATTGTTATTACCTTTTATTAAGGTGCTAGTTCATGGGTTTTCAGGTGAAGGACTAATTTTTATTTCTTTTTTATTTTTTTATTTTCTTTTAAACCAAACTCACACGATTTATTATACACGAACTGATGTTTGGGAGGCTTATTACCCTACTGAGTCGGAGAAAATAAATGGGGAATGCCAAATCCCCCACAAGTCCATAGTACTAAAGTACTACGTACAAGTTCATATTGTCCCATTTTTTCTTATTCTTCGTACTATGCCTGGTCTGCTGCTTTTTTCCAGAAGAGTTGATGTAAGTCTAGGGGCAACGGGGTGGGACAGAGGGGGAGGGAAAACCGATGATTGGTTTTTTACATTTGGGGCGACAAATAAGTCATCTTTAAATTCAGAAAAAGGAAGAAAGTGGTTTAGAATGTCCAGTTCAGAATCAGAGCAAGACTCAACGATCATTGAGTTGAGATTAGGTGAACCTGGCTCCAAAGAGTCAGGCACATTGCCTGGTCCCGGATCAGTGAAAGTAGAGGGTAATAATTTGGACCGAGAAAGGAACCAAGCTCAGTAAGAAGGGTTTGGGTGGAGCCTGGCCAAGCGGGGGTGTCGATGCCATTGAAGTCAAGTCTGGGGAACGGAGGAGGGGTTGGGTGGGTTAGCGGGAGGTGGGTACGGAAGAGAAGAAGAAGGGGTAAAAATAGGTGGAGATAGGTGGGGTTGTTTTTTTTCCTTTGTTAATTTTGAGGGGATGGATGGTTGGATTTTTATTTAACATGTTGATTCATCATGTCCCACATGAGAGCAATATGAACAGTATTTTGGCAAGCGTTCGAACTCGACGGTGAGTTGGACGCATTTTTTTCGCAAGAAATGACAATGCTAGCGGGATGGGGGGATTCAAGATTGAGGGCTACGCAAAAGCGTGCATATGGAGATGGCTTTTTTTTTTTCAGTGTGGCATCATCAACTTTTAATATGGTGCCAAAAATGTTGGCGACTGTTCAAAGGGCTATTATATCAAAGCAACGCAGGTCAAGAGGTGGGATTTTGATCCAAACGGGGACAATGGGTGGTTCTTTTTTGAAATCGAAATCAACAGACCATATGAAAATCCACATTGGAAAATTTAGGATCAAGATTTCACATTTCAACCAATGTTTGGTGGACGTGTTTGGGTTGTCAATTTTGATTAAGACGTGATTGGCATGAAGAATGACAAAAATTTGCATCCGGTAAAACCCAAAAGAACAAGGTTCGACCAGATAGTTGACATTTGTGAGACTTACAGGGGAATGAGGAAAGAATAGAACCTCCAGAATGCTGTGGGAGAGAGATATAGAGCCATAAAAGAAGGGATCGGGTGGGTCAGCATTTTGGGTTCGAGAGGATGGATTTTGTCGGTCAAGGCCGATGGGTGAGTCAGGGCCGGGCCAGGTTTGGGCCAGTATGGGGGGATCTGGTAGAGATTGAACGTGGCTGGGTTGGGTTCGTGCAGGACTAGGGGATTTGGGTTTGGTCCTGGCTGGGTAGAGTGGGGAGGGCTTTAGGTGGAAGGGGTGAAGTGTGAACGGGATTGGTTTTGATTTGGAAGGGCTGTGAAAGGCCAAAAGCCACCGATCTACCCCCGTCTTGATGTCCATGGAGGGACTGTTTGGCTGAAGCCATAAAAGCCGCCGATCTACCCCCGCATTGCCTATTACCATAATGAAAATCTATGCCCTCTATGACGTCACCTCTCTCTCCAGCTCCGTCTCTGTCATCTCATCTGAGATTCGCTGTGGAATGTTTCAATTATTCATATTGTGGAAATTTGAATGTTTTTTAAATATTTATATTTTAGGTCTGATATATGAACAAAAAATTTTTTAGCCATGTCACGAGATCTAGTAATATAAACCTGCTATAGAAAATAAATAAACTAAACTTACTCTAGAAAAGTAAATAGTTTGTAAGTTTAAAATAAAAGTGTATTATTTATGTAATATTAAAAATTTTTAAAATGTTAGATTAATGCAAAATGTTTCAATAATTGTAGTTTTATATGTAAATTGGCCAAGGTATGCAAGTTATAGTTATGAAATTCAAAGAGGCAAAATCATCATGTTATGAATTTATGATGGGCCCAAACTTTGGAATTAATGGGCTAGACGGAAAAATATAGCCGAGTAGGCAAAAAGCCCCATTTTATTTTAGGCGAATTTACACGTCTCTCATGTGATATATAATTAATTGCAAACGTACGAGTAAGGGAAAAATATTAGCATCTGAACGAAATCAGTGGGACTTAATTATCTTTAAGCGAGATTTTATGGTACCTTAGAGCATCTCCAATGGGTTGTTAATTGTAGAAATGTGGAAGATGTTCAAGAAAAAATGTCTCCAACTGTGAATGTCTAAATTCTATTCTTCATGACATGGCAAGAGAGAGAATGAATAAAATGTAGAGCTCCTTCTACATGTAGAAGTCTTGTTAGACATGATGAGTTATATTTTCAAAGCTGAATAAAAAACCACTGGAGACATTTTATGTGTTTGAACATCTATTTTTTCTACGTGGATGGAAAACCATCTATTTAATTGCCACATACACTACAATTCATGTTTACCATTGGAGATGCTCTTAACAAAACAGATTCAGACTTTCAGTTCCTTTTTTTGCGTAACTGATGTTCATTAAAACAATAAATAAATAAATAAATATGACAACAATTAATACACTGAAATATCGCATAACAAATTAACGTGTGGGTCCTTCATTTGAGATACATAAAAGAGCATGACATGTAATCATATGAGGAGTTCGCATAAAGAAAAAAAAAAAGGCCAAAAGATTAATAAGTGTATATATCCTAATATTTAGTCAATTCAAAGCTAAAAAAATACAGATTTTGAATTTCAAACTTATCATTAATATCATTTTATCTTGATGATCTAAGACAGTAAAATATACAAAAGAAATCTGGTATTTTTTTTCAGAACTTTGTTTTTGTTTACTTTTTGTGTTATTTACATCTCGTGTTTTTTGTATATTTATAGTATATTTTCTGTTTTAATGAAATTTTTTTTGTATGTGTCGAAATCAAACCATTTTGATGAACTAAGGTTGGGAAAATATACAATATATAAACATCACATATATATCATTAAAAACACCTATAGAGTTGCAATCCGGTATACTGTAAGTATATCATTCATGCACATATACATAACACATAATCGTGTTATATACTTAATATGTACTCGTATAATTTTTTATAATCAATGTATAAACAGCGACATATTCAGATTAGTATGGATGAACGTTGAAAAACATCATGATAAATAAATTATGAATAAACATCAAATAAACATTGAAACAAATCATATCAGATGTATCTATAAAAATATTTTAATATACAAAACATAAAATGTCTATAGACTGAAAATATGTTGTCTATATACTCATCTTATATTGTCTATTCTACAGTTTTGATATCAATGTTTGCATTTTTTTTTTTTTTCACAAGCAAATTGCCGTATGGAAACATATACTAAATATATACTACATATAAACGCAACATATACTGTGGACAACACAACAAGCATGAACTTCGGTCGCGTCTTCACATCTCCACTTGATCTCCCCACTGAGAAGGAAGAAGGAACGGATGCACTGCCGCGGATATCCATGGTTGTCTCTTCAAATCCTCCAAATGCTCTTCGTTGTTTTTATCACTGGAAAATTCTTCAATTTCAACTCATTCGCTTTCTATTTCGTCTTTAAAATTGGAATCCCATGACTTGCTTTTTTCTGCAATTTTATTTCTGTTTTATTGTCGCGTCGCTGGAAGTTTTTTTTTTTTTTTTTTTAAGTTGAGATTTGGTGGACAATTGATGAGTTGTCAGAGAAAATATTATGACCATAAACAAGTTACGGGTTACCATAAATATAAGTAATCAGTTATGTAAACAAATTGACTAATACTCCATAAAATCTGCATTAGCCAACTACCATAAAAATAAAATCTTAGTATATCTGTAAATAAAAATAATAACTTCAGCAATGTTGCAAATAATTTTATAACTAACATTTTTTTGCAAATAAAAAAGAATAATAATATAATAAAGTGCGTAATTTTCTCTTTATTTTAATACAAAAAGCTTGATATAAGAAAAGCAAATCCTCCCACGGAACTTCAAAACAACATTCTTGATTTCATTTACACGCAATTGAAAAGTATCTTCCCCAATTATCATTCTTCTCTCCCTCCCCAACCCTAAATATCATCTTTAATCATTTCCATGGAAGTCGTTCCGATCTCAGACGCAATTTCATCCGTCGCTTACTCGACACAGTCGTTTGGCCTTTCGAATTTCCTCACCCGCCCCCACGACCTCCTATCCCTCCCCGACACGAATCAACCGCCGAGATCGCCGCCGCCGTTCCGCATCTTCGCCGCTTCGCAACCCCCAACAAGAACTCTGACCAAGAGAAGGCTGCGCAGGATCCGCCGCGCCCGTCGGAGGATCTCAATAGATTACGACGGCGGGGAGAACGGGATGTTTGTTCCCAGCGATGGAGGTGGTTTCAGCTGTGGCGACGGGTATTTTGGCGGTGGAGGTGGCGGCGGCGGAAAAGGTTGGAATTGGGAAGGTTTCTCTGATAACTGTGTACCCGACCCGGCATTTGACTTCGTATACGGGGTTCTGTGTTGGATTGCATTGTCAAACTGCCTACATTTTGCTTTCAAGAAGGTGGTGAGGCTTGTTGAAGATGGTGTCGTTGATCAGGGGAAGGTCCCAATGCAATTGGCTCCTGCAGTTTGTTGAATGGTAAACAAATTTATTTACAGGTTATGAAACAATAGTAGTGGAATTTGGGGGTTGTGGTTGGGGTTGAGGGTTACTGTGCATTTAGAAGAAAATGATGTAAATACGTATGGACATGATATAATTGTTTAAATATTTGATTTGGGGCTCTTTAATTCGTTTCATGTGCTTGTTGGTAAAATTGTTCTGTTGGTGGTGGGTTATAGTTATTTGTACTAATGCGATTCGATTGCCTCAGTACCGTTTTCGGTATTTATTAGGTTGTTCTTTGCATGTGGCTATGATTGTATCTCAAGAAAATTGTTACCTCCATACTTGTTGTTCTAGTGGTTCTCACCGTTCATGTCATTACTACTTGTGTTTGTCTCTCACCATTCATGTCATTACAAGTTGTGTTTGTATTTTGTGACGATGTTGCTTCTTATCCAATTATGTGTAATGAGAATCAATTATGTGCACTGGGAATTGACATGGTGAGGGTAAGTCATCGCCATTTTGATGAATTCTTAACCTTGTGGTGTAATCTTAATAGGGAGGAAGTTAACTAAGGGGAGGATTGGATATAGATTGAAATAAAATAATATATAAAATTATTAAAGTTAATATGATGTGAAAGTAAGAGAGAGACCGTATGAAGTGATTGATAATTAATATTATGTGAGTGGATGAATGTTGAGTTAAAGTTGATTTGATGTGTGAGAACGATTGATTGATATTATTTAACTATGTTAATAATAAGTACGAGAGTTTGGTTGAGTTGGATTTTGAATTAGGTAATTGAGTATGCAATGACTCGATTGGTTTTTGTCGGTTGACTTGGATCATAACTCATATTCAATCACTCCCTAAGGCCCCATTACGATTTTTTCACTATTTTGAAGGAATGTTATTTTTCCTTCAAGTGGTATTCATATACTGGTAAAACTACACCACATATTTTGCGTAATGTTGAATTTATCAATATAACATACATTAGTTCTTTTCAAAGCGTGGTTCATTTGTTTCACAGCGATCATTTTGACTTGGAGACATATATTATCTAGGCGGTTCGATTCAAGATTTAACTCCTGGCCGAGTATGTCTATGCAGTTCAATTTAGTCGTAGTTTATGAGTTTGGGGACTATATTTGTTGCTCTTTTTTATTTATGTGTTGTGGTGTTTGGCTCGGTTGGTGGTTTGGGTGGTCGTTTGGTTTGCCGGCGAGGTTTAGGGAATGTCTTATTTTTATCGCGTTTTTAGGTGTGTTGTTTATTCTTTTGGTTTTCTTATTTTATCGCATTTTTAGGTGTGTTAAGTCCAACATAGTCTGACACCTAGTCTTTATATTTTTTTTTTCAGAACAATAGGGAAATTCAATAATAATAAAGGGTCTTACAAGTCAAGGAGTTAAGTAACTCTGAAAATCGATGAATACAATGAGATCTTTTCTCTAGTGGCCTGGCAAACAAACAATACAACCAAAATAGCTCCCAATACACCAAAACCAATTGAGACTTTTTGAGCAAAAATACAAATCAGAGTCACAAGACTGATAAGGATAGCAAAAATACAACTGATAGAAAACAGAGAGCACTAATGTGAGTAAACTGAGGCCACTGAACCACTCGGACCAAACAATCATCATGCAATCAGTCTCGCTCTTTCTTTGTGAATTTGTTGAGATTTCATGTTGGTCATTTCAAGCTGCTCCAACCACCAAGTCATCAGGCATTCATACCTTCTAAAACTTCCAGAGGTTGCTAGAATTCTTTCCACCACAGGAATGAGTGGTTAATTGGATTGTATCTTCTTAGATTTGTTCCCTGTCCACTGAGAACACCATCCACCTCTGAGATGTCCGCACCCACGTCACTTAAATGTTCATCTTCATCTACATCAAGTATGAACTTTGGATCGGACTCTTGTTGATTCACTGGAGAATCAAACATCTTTGTTTTACCCTCGTTGTCTCAAATCCTCAACTTCTTCCTTTCGCCTGACATATATATATATATGTATATATATATGTACATATATATACGTATATATATATATATATATAGGGGGCGGATCAAATGAGGACAGCTCTTAAAATGCGGACAACTCTTAGCAATTACAGACAACTAACCTAGCAACTACAGAACTAACCTAGCAACTACAGAGAACTAATCTAGCTACTACTAACCTAACAACTACAGAGAACTAATCTAGGAACTACTAACTTAGTAACTACAAAGAACTAACTTAGCAACTACAAAGAACTAACCTAGCAACTACAGAGAACTAACCTAGCAACTACAGAGGAGGCTTGATCCGATGGTCAAGCTGAACACCGATGGTTCTTTCGATCGCCATAGCGGCACTGCCAGAGTAGGAGGCTTGATCAGGGACCACAGTGGAGCTCTCATTACCGCCTTCCACACATCCCTTCAGGCCTCCTCGAGCTACGATACAGAGATTCAGACATTACAGATTGGCCTTCAGATTGCTGCCCATCTCTCTAGCCACATTTGGATTGAGCTGGACGTTGCGGCTGTCGTCACCCTCCTGACCTTGGGTCACCAGGGCTCGTGGCAGATTCAGCATCCGCTTATGCGCATCAGAGATCTACTTCGGTCTGTCCATTACAGGATCACACACATATTCCGTGATGGGAACAGACCTGCTGACTATCTTGACAGCCTTGGCGCCACCATACCAGACATGCACACGTTTCAGACCGACACTGCTCCACTACGTCTTCGCACGTTAGTTCGGATGGATCAGCTTGGATATCCATCTTTTCGCTTCAAGTAGATTAGGGTTTTTATTTTTGTTTTTCTTTAGATCATACATCTATTCCGGACACCTATTAGCCCGATGACAGACCTTATACTATTTCCTATTTCTGTTTTTTCGTCGTTGTTTTGATTGTGAGACTATGTTGACTGTAGTTGTTTGACATTTTTGGCCCGTTTTAGGGTCTTGATCTATGTACAGGTAGGGGATCTAGCCCAATCCCCCGTCCTTCGGGGCGTTGTTTGAAAAAAAAAAAAAAAACTAGCAACTGTCGAGAACTGACCTAGCAACTATATAGAACTAACCTAACAACTACTAACCTAGCAACTACAGAGAACTAACCTAACAACTACAGAGAACTAAGGATATTGTTACTCTTGAGGGAGGCCTTGGCATCCGCCGCCCTTTCTCGGAGGGAGGCCTTGGAATTCGCCGCCTTAGGGATATTGTTACTGCCTTCTCCTACAATTTGTGGTGGCGCTTCAGGGAAGGAAAATCACTTTGGGCTCAGTACCTTCGTGGCAAGTATTGCCCTAGACGCGCCAACCACCCTTGTTGGGTGACGGCGGTGGCTCATGATAGCAGACAGTGGCGGCGTCATACTAGGGTAGGTAGGCGCGCCCAGGATCACATCTTTTGGGTTTTGGGTGATGGCGAGGTTAGTTTTTGGGATGAGTGGTGGATAGGTAATAGGCCGTTGTCTAGGGACAGACAGGTGTCGCATTCCCCCTTCCTGCTTGTGAGCGACCTTTGGACGGACGGGTCGTGGGATAGAGGGAAGCTTGATGGGGAGTTGGGCCTTGGGGCGGGTTTTAGCGAGCATTTAATAGATCAGATCCAGCAGATACCCATCTCGGGGGACGGTTCGGATGGCATGAGGTGGAGACTTACATCATCGGGTGTGTTTTCTACTACCTCGGCTTGGGAGCAGATCAGACTGAGAGATCGGTCTAATCTTCTCTTCGGAGCCATGTGGAGCGATATTTTCACCCCTACCATTTCGGTATTCCTTTGGCGTCTCCTCTTGCGCCGAATACCGTGGACACTGTTTTACATGCGAGGGGGATCTCCTTCCCCTCCCGGTGTGTGTGTGTTGTTCTGAGACTGGACGCCATTAGACCGAGACCTTTACCACATTTTTCTAGAGAGTGAGATTGTGAGGAGAGTGTGGGAGCATTTTGCCACATGGACACATATATCCCTACCCTCCATTGAAAGTTTCTTTGAGCTCCTGAGTTTTTTCTCACAAAGCACACACCTTAGACACGTGGGCTTCCTCATTCCTTATTTGATCCTTAAGTTCACCTAGACGGAAAGGAATAGTGCGAAGCATAGAGATATTACTTTTTTGCTTTCTCACATTGTTTTGCAGGTAGAGAGACATATTTCACTCGTCACATCATTGGGGAGGCTCACTGCCAGAGACTGGACATGATGCACGCCACCACACCGCTACATGGTGGCTCCCCTTGCGCCTGTTCGGCCCCCTCGGCCCAGAGCTGTTGTTTGGCTTTGACCCGACTCTCCTTGGGTCAAGCTGAAGACTGATGGTTCTTTCGATCGCCATACTGGAGTTGTCGGAGGAGGAGGCTTGATCCGGGACCACAGCGGCGCCCTCATCACCGCCTTCCACACGTCCCTTCAGGCCTCCTCGAGTTACGACGCAGAGATTCAAGAATTACAGATTGGCCTTCAGATTGCTGCCCACCTCTCTAGTCATATTTGGATCGAGTTGGACGTTGCGGCTGTCGTAACCCTCCTGACTTTGGGCCACCAGGGCTCGTGGGAGATTCAACACCCGCTTATGAGCTTTAGAGTTCTTCTGTGTCTGTCCTTCACAGGATCACACACATTTTCCGTAAGGGGAACAAACCTGCTGAGTACCTTGCCAGCCTTGGCGCTACCATACCAGGCACACATACGTTTCAGACTGACACTGCTTCACTCCGCCTTCGCACACTTGCTCGGATGGACCAGCTTGGATATCCATCGTTCCGCTTTCAGTAGATTAGACCAAAAAGGTACGAAAGGGAGGCATTTAGCTTAAATAAACAAGAGTCTGTGGAGAGTCTGTTAGAGCTATTTTAACTGATTTGGATCTCTCAAGTGATTCGATAGGGTTGTTGTGGAAAACGCAACTTTCATTCTCTCTCTCTCTATAGGCATTATGGGTGATATTTTGGATTTGGGCATTCAATTGATCAATTAGGGTTTTAGTATGGCATCCGATCAAGACTCCCTA